GGGGACGGGGTAAATGTGAAAGTTGCCAAAATATCCATAGGTGTAGCCAGGAGGGGGGGGGGGGGTGCGATGGGTGCGATAACAATAGGCTTTATATATGCTTTAATGTTTTATTTATCATGATGCTTCTATGTAGCCTATTAATTACAGTTCTTTTTGCAATATAAAACTGGTATGTTTATGCAAATTCCGATTGGACTAATATAAAGGGATATTGTTTCATTATGTGGACTTGAGAAAGTCCGACATACTCATTGCTTTCAACCCAAAACTTAAAATAGGAAGTTATCAAGATCCCAAGAACACGATCGCTACTTAAACAATACGTTTGTAGAATCCCGGCGATCGAAATGCAATCAAACTTTCGCAATCAGGTGCCTAATTAGTCTTTTGATCTCTAAAGTTTTACGACTGAACGTTTCAATGAACTCGTGAGAAGCAAACGCAATCATCAGATAAACATTTTTCTAGTAAATCTAAAATAGAGTAAAACCCAGGGAAAAAGATCGCGTGTTCATAGAAATTAGGCATATTTCAATTTTGAAATAACAAAAGTCAGTCTCGGAAGAATTTTCCAAGCATTCCCTGCTTCGATGCGTTTTTATTGCAAGGGCCGTTTAGCGCCGATATGAATTCATTATAGGGCATTAGGGTTGTGCTTTATTTGTTTTATTTATATAAATGTTATAAAATGTGTACGACACTTTAATGAATTATTTTTAGGGTTACAATGCATATTTGACTTTTCCCTCTAAACGTTTAAATTCATCTTTATACTTTTCTTAGTTTGCTTCATAAAATTAACATTGGATCCTAGACAGTTATCAAATTCTCAGACATTTGATTAATATAGATATTTGTACTTCCTTTGACCAGTGGTGCTGGTGTGACTGAGATTCGAATCTAATCTGTTTCATTTTTATGTAAATTGAGAGGAATAAAGTTTTATTTTAAGCGTTTTAACAAACTTTACGTTTGGCGTGCAGCTCAACTTAATACACAATCAAAGGACAGAATACAGAAATAAGAACATGCCTTTTATTTGTTATTCAAGCTTGTGGAAGGATAAAGACAAAGGGGTCGCGGCTATCGTGATGACGCCATCTTATTTCTAGGAATTATTTCTGCCTCTCATTGCTTAAACCGGCTTCGTTAAACAGTGCCAAAATATATAAGTCGGAGCCAAAAACAAGACTATTTTTATATTTAAAACCCCTCACCTTGTCAATGTCTATGCCTGCATCTGGTTTTCCCACATTTGGGAGGGAGCCAATATACACATAGATTACTTACTGGCCATGGACAGGGGGGGGGCACAGAAACGAACATTCTGGGGTCATAAGGGATACTTGGGGAAGGAGGAGGGGTGGTGGTGAATAGTGAAGTCCGGGAGTGAAGTTAAGGGGTATTGAAATCTTTCTTTTGATATTTAGTGCTTGAATGGAGACTTGTTTCCACCTCCCGCATTCTAGTAGAATTTAAATATTTGATCCAAAGGAGTTATTTTAAATCAAACTTGAATTCCGATTAATTAACACTCCAATGATTGTACCGCTTCACTATTGTCTAAGATAATTATAATGAATTCACGGGACACTATAGTCTTCCTTTTAAACTTTAGTGGTTGGATGGAGACTTGTTTCCCCACCCCGTACACAAGTAAATTTGTAAATTTTAAATATTTGATTTAGGAAGGTATTTGCAATCAAACTCTGATGATGCAAGACTAGTCAGCCAAGACTAAATAAAATTATGAACTTATTATCATTTAGACTATTGAGTTCATTAAATTATAATTCCATAAATATCATATTTAATCCTGTCAACACAATAATGGTATTAATTGGCATGATATGTAGTCAGAGACGGTTTAAAAAGTTGTTTAGATTAATGATAGTATTAGGAAAAATCCTAACTCAAAGTTTTTGTTCTTTCGCAATCCAGAGCAAACCACTCGCCGGGCAAGCATTCTTTAAAAACGTGAAGTTTTCACCATGTTGAGCAGTTTTGAAAATTGTCCAATTTGAACCATCGCCTTGTATATTTCTGTAACTGCCCCCCCCCCTTGACACTCGAGTGTAAGAATCCTTTCCACACTGGAGAACAATCACTGACTGCGATTTGTATGATTGAACATTATACACTTATCATTAATTCGTAAAGAATAGTTTTAAAATAAACAGCTTGTTTTATGTTATGATTGGAGTGATGTATGCATAGACAGAAGAATGACACTGGTTTTGAAATATCTTAATTATCCCATTGAATGAATGAATGAAGCCATCCGTCCCTCTGTCCATTCTTAACTCATACTTGTGGACTGATTTGATTTAAAGGAGAAGTCTCGGTGTAGGACGTGTACACACTAATGAGAACGAATTTTACTCATTTCTATTTAGGATTCGTTCATATACTAGCGGGGCTTTAGAGCATTTACAAACGCACGAAATGTATTGTTTTAAGGCAACTTTTATGACATATAATGTATTTAAAGCTGATTAATTTTAGATTATATTCGGTTCAATTTTACAAATAATGAATAGTATTACAGTATATCGAAAAATATACAATAATTTACATTAACTTGCGCAGACTGCAAACAATGTACATGGTTGGCGCGTTCTTGATAATAAGAATTAAAGGTTGAACTTAAAAATCAAACATTTTCTTTTTTTAAACATAATAAATCTTTAAATCAAGAAAATAAAAATAAGATTGATGATTGAACTTTTCATAGTCAACTGCGACTGTGTCGACGCATGTTTATTTACTTAGCTAATTAGATATGTAAAATTGTTAATGGCCGCAACGGATAATACGTAAGCTGCTGTTCGGATAAGACATTTCTATATGATTAATAACAAATCCCGGACAGAATGTTATTCAACAGTACTTGATCTTATCAGTTATTATTCAATTTGGATAATAAATCTATTATCTCGTCGTATTGATGTTTATTATATAGTGTTTCTCGTTGTGCAGGTATTGGGAATTTTTAAAAAGTGAAGAGACAAATATAAAGTACATCACTGGTTGTGCAAAGATCTGAATTTGTCACTTAACAAAAAAGACTGGAAAATGATCAATAGAATCTATAAGGTCAGCAATTTTGAACCAAAATTAGCTTCATTCAATTTAAAATTCTTCATAGATTTTTGGCCACCAACACATATTTGAAAATGTGTGGATTAGCAGAATCGGATATGTGTACCTTTTGTAAAGTAGAACCAGAGTCAATCTGTCATCTCCTCTATGACTGTAAACACTCAAGCCACGTATTCCTTTCATTATAACGAATTTTATGTTACATGACTATATGTTTTTATTCCGCTATTTAATATACGCTCTACCATGATTATTTGGTATCAAATTAAACGTCTCTTAATCCTGCAAAATATCATTTAGTTTTTATCTCAGGGTTATAAAAGCTGAACGCATTATCAATCGTCGAACATTCCAAACTATCATTTTTTGCCTTGTAACCGATCACCCTTATGTTGATTGACAGTAACTTTTTTATATTCTGAAACGTATTTTGTTATGATAATTGACAATTTCATCACAAAGACTGCATCGTGTCGATTGTACGTTAGCTGGAATTAATTTATTTGCTAATTTACTATTGGAAAATCGACATTAAGTATGTGTAG